TTGTCATGTTGGCCAGGCTGGTCTTGAACTCCTAACCTCAAGTGATCCACCAGCCTCAACCTCCCAAAGTGCTGGGATTGTAGGTGTGAGCCACTGTGCCCGGCCTTACCTTGTTTTCCAATTTAAAAGTAGCATACTCGAGCAGCAAAGTATGGTAGCATTGGATTGTAACCAAAAGCACACAGTAAAGATCCCTGAGTCCCTGTGACATAAATAAATCATTTATTTATATAATAAACTGGGAAAACAGACAAATCTCCTTGAGATATTCCAAGTAATTTATGTGGCTACACTGCCCGGAAGGAGGTGGGCAGAACTCCCCATTCATCGGACTTGGGCTGCATGGAGCAGCAGTGACTTCCCCCTGAAACATACAGCACAGAAAGGAGGGAGCAGCCTCAGCCGGGCTCAGCGTCACCAGCAACGGTGGTGAGCTAAGTTGGCAGAACCTTTCTTAGTAAGATGTTCTGAGACCGGCATGTCACCTCTGTGGTCTTCCTCCCAAAAGCAGGTTCCCAGTCTCATCATGAGAAAACTGTCAGAGGTTCCAGCTGAGGAACATTTGACAAAATGCCTGACACCTACTCCTCGAACTGTCAAGATGAAAAAAAAAAAACAAGACAAATCTGAGAAACTATCATACCGAGGGAAACCTAAGGAAGCATGAAGACTAAATGTAACGCAGCACCTTGGATGCAATCTTGGAACAGAAAAAGGATGTAGGAGGAAAGCTGGGGAAATAGGGGCAAAGCGTGGGGTTTAGTTTGTAACAGCCCGTGAATATTCACTGGCCCATTGCAACACACATACCACACTGACGTTGAGATGTTAGCAATAGAGGAACCAGGCACCGGGGAAGCAAGAACTATCTGTCCTGTGTTTGCAGTGTTTTCGTAAATCTAAAACCGTTCTGAGCACGTGCTTATTGTACCGAATGTGGAAAATACAAAAAACTAAAAGAAATAGAGCTTTCGCCATCCTAGAACCCAGACGCAGCCACATTTCCTCCTGGCCTTGTTCTGACGTATCCTGTTTCTACACTGTTGAAATCATAGCAGGTGTTAAGTTTTTTAACCCAGGCAATGCATTTCTAACAGTGGAATGCCAGGCACCCTGGGGAAGAGGGGTCAGGGAGGGAGACATTGCTGGCCAAAAGGGTCTTCTGGGGGTGCCCACTTTCTGCCATTGACTTAGGACATGCTTCAGGTTGACAAAAAGCCAGGATCCAAGAGACCAATCTAAGAAAATTTCTCTAGGCTGGACTCTGTGGCTCATGCCTGTAATCTCAACGCATTGGGAGGCCAAGGCAGGAGGATCACCTGAGGCCAAGAGTTTGAGGTCAACCTGGGCAACATAGTGAGACCCTGTCTCTACAAACAATACATTAAAAATTAGCTGGGCATGGTGGCGTGCACCTGAGTAGATCTAAGCTACTCAGGAAGCTGAGCGGGGGAGGATCCCTTGAACCCAAGAGTTCAAGGCTGCAGTGAGCTGTGATGGCACCACCGCATTCCAGCTTGAGTGACAGAGCAAGACCTCGTCTCTTAAAAAGAAAAACAAAACAAAAACAACAACAGATGGGCAAGTTACTGAACTTTGGAAAAAAGAATAAATTTTTAAAAAAGAAACAAAGTTTGCTGGCTTCCCAAAGTAAGCAAGTTTGGATGACCCAGAGAACCCTCTGCACAAACCCAGTGACATCCCGAGGAAGGTCCCCAAGCCCAAAGCCATGGATCAGGCTTCCTTCATTGGACAGGAAAGCATCTTCCTATAATAACGCCCCCATGACTCAGTAGAGCATGGCACTGTCTCAGGATGGCAAGGGCCCAATTTAACCCTCCCCAGAGGTGTCAAGTTCACAAATAGCTCCTAACGTGCAGAGTCGTCACCCATGGCTGGGTCCAGATGACAGCCAGCGTGCGCTATTGACACATCTGGACCACAGCTTCTTTTTCCATCCAGATGCTCCAAGTCCTGTCAGCACACCTGTTACCAACTGCTAGGCTATGGGAAAAACCCCAGGTCCTGCCCTTTCTGGGAAGGAGAGAGGATTCTTTTGGGGGCAGAGCAGGAAGCTAACCCCCAACTGGAGTCAACCAAGGACCACAGCCTGGAGATAACCTGGGCTGAGCACACAGCTTGCAGGACACCCCTCTGTTCTCATGCCTTCTCCTGCTCTAGAACATCTCATCACTCACAGGCACTGGTTCTCAACTGGGAGAGGCTGGGCCTCATAACTAGAGACATTTCTGGTTATCACAACTGGCAGGCGGGGGAGAGGGACAGTGCTGTTCGTATCTAGTGGGTAGAGACCAAAGATACTGCCCAACTTCTTCTAGCACATTATTTAGTCCCCCACGGCAAAGAATTATACAGCCCAAAATATCAACGGTGCTCTACAGGGAAGGTCCAAATTCTTAGCCTGTCACTTAAAACCTTTATCACTTCCTCCCCAAACTCCAGGTTGGTCTCTTTTATGTCCCTGTACAAGCCAAAAACATATACCGTTGCTCACCTGTTTCTCCTCCCCTTCCATCCTGCCCACAGCCAAACTCTCCCGCCCGCACCACCACCAAAAAGTCTTCCCTGATTGCCTGGGCCCTCACACTCTTCAGCTCTGTGAGCAGGGACCGTATCTCACAACACTATTTACAGGTGAGGACATCGATGGCACGATCAACAAGGAAACCTAACAGCCCCGCAGTGCAGAGTTTGCAGGGCAGCCTCTGAGCCCACACAGCCTGCAAATGGATTCAACTTGGCCAGCACAGAGATTTTTTTCTACCATGCATCAATCACTAGCATTGAAACATCAGAATATGGGACATGAACGCCTGCTCTGAGCCCGGCGCAGTGGCTCACCCCTGTAATCCCAGCACTTTGGGAGGCCGAGGCGGGCGGATCACCTGAGGTCGGGAGTTCCAGACCAGCCTGTACAACATGGAGAAACCCCGTCTCTGCTAAAAATACAAAACTAGCTGGGCGTGGTGGCTCACACCTGTAATCCCAGCTACTCAGGAGGCTGTGGCAGAAGCATCGCTTGAACCCGGGAGGCGGAGGTTGCGGTGAGCTGAGATCGTGCCATCGCACTTCAGCCTGGGCAACAAGAGCAAAACTCCGTCTCAAAAAATAATAATAATAAGCCTGCTCCTTATTCTCTAAACATCAAAAGAGTGGCCACCAGGACCCACAATCCTTTGTGGCAACAATCAGCAAAAACAGAGAACAGCCACAGGGTGGGCCAAGCAAGGGCTCCCAAGGTCACTGCAGGCCCATCTGCCCGCTGCTGTCACTCACACGTCCTGCCCGGACCCTGGAGGCGTCAGAGTTGGAGACCTCTGAGCCAGTCAACATCACCTTACCCCTGACTTTATAAAAGGGAAACTGAGGCCCAGAGAGAGGTTTGTCCAAGGCAACACAACCAGTTAGTGGCAGAGCTGGGGTGAGGACCCAGGGACTTGCTACATGTGAGATGTCCCTGCGTGCCACACTGCCCTCCCAAGAATGCTGCATAGTTTCAGAGCTTAAAGTCCTCAAAGACAGAGTACAGGGACACCCAGAGAGTGATTTGCTTCTCTCAGCCCTTGCCCTGGCGGGAGCTGGACAGAAAGAACAACCTCTGAGTTGCTCCTGTCAAAGCTAGAGTCCTTGAATCTGACAGCTTGACTCCAAGAATGCTGACAGCAGGTGCCATGTCTGATGCACAACGAATAATAAAGTACTCACCTGTGCATCAGGCACAGCTCTGCATGTTTTGTATATATCAACTCCCTGAGCCTCACAACCAGACCCTACCAAATGGGTATGATTATTCACATCCCCATTTTTTTTTTTTTAATGAAAAAACTGCGGCTCAGAGAGGTTAAGTAAGTCACCCAAGGCTGCACAGCTGGGAAGCAGGGAAGCCAGGATTTACATGTAGGAGTCCGGATCCAGAGGCCATGTGCTAACCGTTGAACAGCATCACCCCCTTGAAGGCTGGGTTCTTGCCACAGCTCTGCCTGCTCTGCCTGTGACAGGAAGCAGAGGCAGGCAGGCCTAAGTTTACAGCTGCCACTGCAGCATGTGGATCTAGGCTCGTTTTGAGGAAGCCCTTCCAGACTCATGAGAAAACTATTAACTACAGGCCCTGAGTCACCCAGGAGGAAGTTAGCTGAGTCTGGGGAGAGGGGTTGGCCAGGAGTTTGGGGGCGGGGTGGGTCTAGGCAGGATAGAACAAGGACCCTGACCCTCAGCCACCCCAGGCAGAGGGGGAGCCTTGGCCCCAGGACGCTGTGACTTGCCCACGACCGCATTGTGAGTACCAGGAAAGGAGGTGCCAGTGACAGCTGCGACTTCAAGTTGCCCAATGAGAGCCGGGCTGGGCGAGTGACCCTGATTATCAGCACCGGTCTGGAGTTCTCTTTAGTGGGCGGAGGGCCGCGGTCTGACTAAGCTGGAAGCTAAGAGGACTCAGCCCCTGCCTCCCCACTGGAAGCGCCAAGTGGAGCTGCCCGCCTCTCGTACCCCGGAGCGGCCCAGGGTCTGTCCAGGACCCAAGGGAAGACTCAGGACTGTGTCTGCGGCCGACCTCACATCGTGGTCAAACAGTCACAGCCCACATTCCTCCCAAGATCCCTGGCTTCCAAAGCGCTTTCACATCTGCTGTTGGCTCTGCACACAAATAACCTTCCAGCTGCTACGGTCCCCATCTCACAGAGGCAGAAACAGAGCCAGCCTCGGAGTGAATGTCTGTTACATTTGCCTGAAAAGCGGATTCCTGCTCCCCTACTGCTCACTCCTGCAGAGTCCCCCAGGGTCCCCCAGCCATTTGACAGAGGAGGAAACTGAGGCCCAGAGCAGGACAGGGATTTGCCCAGGGTCCCCCAGAGAGGTGAGGAGCAGGAGGTCTCTTATTTGCGTGGCTCCATAGATGAGGGGTCACCGCAGACACACATACTCACTCACACAAGCACTCACACACACACACACACACACACACCCGGGGCCCACACACTCACCACATGGTAGATGGCCAGGGCAGTGGTGGCGATTCGGACGTTGAAGCAGCAGCAGGTCTGGTGGACGGCAGACGGGCGGGGAGCCATGATGCCGTCGTCCCCTCCTCTGAGGCTCTGAGGGGGAAAGAGCCCAGGGCCTGGAGCGGGGCAGAAAAAGGGAAGCTGCTGGCTGCCCTCCTCACTTCCTTCCTGCCCCTTAGACAGGCAGGGACAAGGTCGTCACAGCTGGGGCGGGGCAGCTGGGGAGGGGGAGCGGGGGCAGGGCGGCACCCTGCCTCAGAGCACCCCACCACCCTCTGCCATTCCCAGGAGGGGCCTCTGGGGAGGACGGACCCTAACGCCGTCATCAGGCCCTGCTCTGCACCAGGGCAGGGATTCCGCCCTTTCACACGTCCTGCTTACTAGAAGCACACTGCCAATTTTAGAGGCCAGGACTGTTACCAAGCCCATTTCCAGATGAGGAAACAGCTGTCCAGAGAGGTCAAGGCACTTGCCCAAAATGGCACAGTAGTTAGCACTGGTGGCAGGATCCAAACTCAGATCTGCCTGGCTGCAAAAATAGCTATTGTCTAGAAGGCATTTCCTGCCTCTTCGAGCCATGCTCCTGGATTCCCTCCTGTCATCCTCACCTCAATCCTCTGAGAGAGGTACTGTTATGATCCCCATTTTACAGATGAAGAAACTGAGGCACAGAGAGGGGTTGTGATGCGTGCAAGGTCACACAGCTAGTCAATGAAGGTGCGAGGATTTTAACTGAGTCCGACTGGTGCTAGAAGCGAGCCACGAGCAGCATTTCTTCCTAAGCTATGAAGAGGCATGCAGGGCTCCAGACTAGGACAGAGCAATAACCACTAAGCAAACCATCAACTGCGTGCCAGGCCCTGGGCTAGGCTTCTCTTCCAGCTAGGCTAATAACTCTTCACCGCAATCTGTGAGATCCCAGCCTCACTCTGAGGGCCTCAAGACCCCCTCCCATACTCACACAAAATCAGGGACTGCTTTTCCCCTTGATCTCGGGAAAAGTTGGAATTAATAAGCCACAAGCATTAAGCAAGCTACCCTGGGATCTCTACTCCTTCCTCAGATGATAAATTATCCATATTGCAATAAAGGAAGGGAATAGGAAGTACATGCAGCATTTCTGGAAGCCCTGCTTTGTCCCACAGCTGAGCCCCTTTGCAATGCCAAGTGAAGAGCAGACAGGAACTGCCACAAAGCCCTGCCCTCCCAGAAGATCATGGAGTTAGGATTGGACACTGCTGCAGCCCATCACTGCTGCTCCAGGAGAGGTTATAAAAAGTCCCTAAGCTCCTCCCACTTGGCAAGAGTTGCTCTGTTAAAGCCACAAAACTTGGCTTGTGGACTTGATCAAACCATTCTCCATGAGCCAATGAGACCAAGGGGACTCTACAAGCTTGGGGCTCCTGGGAGGCCTGGCCTATCCCTTCCTGACTTCATTTCCAAACCTGTTTCTGTTCCTTTATAAGCCTTGCTGAGGCCTGACATCATAGAAGGGTGACACAGTGCAGTGGTTAAGAACTTTGGCTCCACAGGCCCATAGCCTGGGTTCTTCTGACTGGGTAGGCAGAGCAACAGAAGAAGTTCTCCTTTGTCTAAGAGTAGCAAGGCCAGAGGAACTGGAGATCAGAAAAGCAGGGACCAGACCATAGCCTTAGGGCCTATGCTGGGGGGTCTGCATTTGAACATGCACAGAAGCCACTTGACGATTTCACACCATACTAAATGATAGCCATTCATAACATTGTGATTTGGTGAAACCAGTACAGGTGCAGAGCCAGCTCTCAAAGAGAGGGATAAAACACACTGGTGGCAAGTGGAATAATTGTACGTGGTCTATGCGTGAACATTTCTCGTTTTTATGATGATAATTCATTTTAATGTGCATTATAAAAATATACACAACTAGCCCATGAATTCCATGATTTTCCATTTATAGGAGTAATATAAAGTCTCATTTTAAAAGAGATGGGATTTAAATAAAAAAGGCAGTAAGTCGACTTAACACATTAAGAAAGCCACAGCCCAGCCATAAAAAAACGATGAGTTCGTGTCCTTTGTAGGTACATGGGTGAAACTGGAAACCATCATTCTCAGCAAACTGACACAAGAACAGAAAATCAAACACCGCATGTTCTCACTCATAGGCGGGTGTTGAACAATGAGAACACATGGACACAGGGAGGGGAGCACTACACACTGGGGTCTGTTGGGGGGAAATGGGGGAGGGACAGCAGGGGGTGGGGAGTTGGGGAGAGATGGCATGGGGAGAAATGCCAGATATAGGTGAAGGGGAGGAAGGCAGCAAATCACACTGCCATGTGTGTACCTATGCAACAATCTTGCATGTTCTTCACATGTACCCCAAAACCTGAAATGCAATTAAAAATAATAATTAAAAAAAATAAAGCTTGTTAAAAAGAAAAAAAGAAAGAAAGCCACAGCCTAGGAGGGCACAGACATGGCAGACAGCCCTGGAGGTGGAGTGGGGGGCATCAGCTTGGGAATCCTGGGGCATGGGGAATCCCAACTCCTCACTTAGTAGCTGTGTGATCTCAGACAAAGCACTTGATCTCTCTGAGCTGTTGTTTCCACCTCGGCAAAATGGCCGGGGGGAGTGTTGGGAGGAACAGAAGCTGGCCTGGCAGGGCTGCGGTAAATGTGAAATGAGGTCACGTGGACGCATCTGTTTGTTATCTCCCTTCCAGCCCCTCCCTGCTCCCCAATCTCACCCATACTCAAGCTGCCAGGAAGAGGCAGAGCTGGGATTGAAACCCTGATCTGTCTGATTCTGAGTCCTGGACCCATGACAAGTGGCATCCCCTTGGGCACTGCCTCCCTGGCAGAAACAGGAATTCTGCTGCAGTCATTTGTCCCTCACCAGGTCACCCTCAGCACACGCTGGTCCCTTGGCAGAGGCCTCAGTCACTCCCTGTGGAATACAAGCCTGAATCACTTTATTTTCATTCCCACCAAACCCCCTATGGAGAGGATGGCTGTCATCCCAAAGGTCAGACCCTTTGGCCAAAGCCACTGTGATAGGCAGGATAATCCTCCTCACGCCCCAAAAATTATCCACCCTAATCCCTGGAACCTGAGTGTACATACGTGGCCTTACATGGCAAAGGAACTTCATAGGTGCCATGAAATTCAGGATCTTGAGATGGGGAGACTATCCTGGATTATCTAGAGGCCCTGAGGTCATCAAATGGGCCCCCATAACTGAAGGAAGATCAGAGTCTGAGAGAGACTGGAAGATGCCACACTCCCGGCTCTGCAGATGGAAGAAGGACCACGAGCCAACGAGTGCAGGTGGCGCCCGGAAACTGGAAAAGGCACAGGGATGGCTTCTCCTCTAGAGAAAAGGAATCACTTTGATTTTAGCTCAGTGAAACCCATTTCTGACTTCTGGCCTCCAGAGCCATAAGATGATAAATGTGTGTTGCTGTAGTCACTATGTTTCTGGTCTTTTATTAGAGCAGCCACGGGGTACAGCTGCTCGGTGGAGGCCACAGCAGAGCCTGGGCCCCCTGTCGCTGGAGCCCAACATACTCCACTGAGACCACAGTCCCCATCTGCACAAATGCAGCCCTTGCTTCCTTGCTGTGTGACCCTGGCCAAGTCGTGAACGTCCCTGAGCCTCAGTTTCCTCCTGCACAAGGTGGGGATCATGATAATGCCCATCTCGTTGTCTGTACGTGCAGGTGGTAACACCACGTAAGTTCACTATTTATACCCTGCTCTTTTCCGTTACAGACGATACATTTTGAGCTTCTGCAGATTGCTTTTCATACTCTCTTTGCTGAGTGGCGGAACTCTTGAAAACTTCAGACCCTCTGAACTCATCAAGATAAGGACAAAGAAAACGTTCCATGCTTCCGCAGCCACGGCAGGGCAGATACAAATCTACTTACAAAACTGCCCTTGTCAATGTCATTTCTGGCCAAGAAGTCTTCTAAGACCCTCTTGATGGTTCCCAGCTCCTAGAGAGTCGTCTTTAATCCTGCAAAGTTCTGTAATTCTGGCTGGTTATCCTGCTTAATAATTTGTTGTCATGGTATATTAATATTTAAACAGACAACTCTGTTTCCTCAAAGGCAGAATTACTTGTAAGCTTTCTTTGTTAAGTCAAAAGAACATCAGTGGAACTTCCCTCTTCACCCACATGCCTGGAGGTAAAAATAAAACCCACGACCCTGCCAGCTTTCATATTTAAACAAAGAGTTTGGGAGTCTTGTGTCCTTTCCATTAACCTAGATGAAGCACTTAGGAGGGGCTGGGTCATGATAGATTGCACGGTGGGAGGTATTTTGATCAGGATTATCACTATGATTCCTCCTGTCCCTTAAACCCTCTCTCAGCTGAGTCTCCCCAGCCCTAGCCAGCAGAGGAAAGCAGCAGAGAGGCACTGATCAGCTCCCATAGACCCGAGGAGGCAGTGGTCTGCTGCAAGACACACAGCTGGTCCAGAGCAGAGCCAAGACACAGGTCCTCTTTGGGGACAGCTGCATGGGAGGCATGTGAGTGGTGGTAGCCAAGGTAGCTCCAGGGATCTCTTCTCTCGAGGGGCTTCTGGGTGCCCCCTGCAGCTTGCCCAGGCTGATGGTCAGTTTCCTGCCAGACCACTGGCCTGTGACTCCCTCCCGGCTGTGAGCCCCATCTCACTTCTACCTTGGAGGTTTGGGGCTAGAACCCCAAGGCCGAAGACCTGAAAAATGTAAGAAGCTGCCCAGCATTCTCTCCTGTCTCCTGCCCTGAACCCAGCACTGTCACCAGGGCCAGGGCCTGCACATGAAACCCACAGGGTCCCTCCGCTACTCCCCTGCCTCTGAAAGGGGTCTAGGCTTCGAGGTCAGCCTGGAGGTTCAGCCTGGCAAGGTCAGCCTGGCAAGGTCAGCCTGGCAAGGACAGCCTGACAAGGTCAGCCTGGCAAGGTCAGCCTGGCAAGGACAGCCTGACAAGGACAGCCTGGCAAGGTCAGCCTGGCAAGGTCAGCCTGGCAAGGACAGCCTGACAAGGACAGCCTGGCAAGGTCAGCCTGGCAAGGTCAGCCTGGCAAGGACAGCCCACAGGCCTGGGGCCTGGGAACTACCAGACCTTCCAATGACCAGCTGCTCAGTCCAGTGGGCAGGCAGGGGACCCTGAGTGTCTGCCAGACACT